CTGTTGATATTATTTTGTTACAGTTACACTTCAAACATATTCCAGAATACAAAAGTATAAACTTTAATGCTTTCCAGAATTGTTGGTAAGTTTTGATACTTTTTGCCCCTGTGTGCGACGCCTGGAGGAATGATTTCACCGTTGTATGAAGATAATATAGTAGGATAATGCAACAGTAAAAAGTGTTGGATGCAATCTCGAGCGGCATCTAGTGACGATTTAATGAAGTAGTCAATTTTTAATGCTATGCAGATACGTCATCTACGTCTTCTTTTCGTTCAGGCACATGGCCTCTATCACCTACCTATTATAGTTAAAAACATCTTTATTTATTTAAAAATAACAATTTATGATAAAAGACATGAAAAATTAAACATAATAATGAAAATTTATTCCAGTTGACAAAACCGTACGAATAAAATTTTTGGATTAAGGTGATAAAAAGTGGTTAAGGACTTTGGTCAATATTTTGGTTATGTGCGGTTATATCAAAATATATAAACAATAACAAAGAATACCTAATAACAACTTATAACAATGTCCAATGTTTTAAATAAATTGAAAAGTTCCAAGTGGAAAACAAAAAAGGAATAAGCTTCTGAAAATGTTGCATGTAATCTAAGTACCTCTAATTGGACTAAGTGTTGGAAAAGTTTATAACCATAAAAATAGCTGAATATTTTTATAGTTTTCAAAATTTGAACAAGCTTTGCTACAAAATTTCATCAAAGCTATCAACAGTTAGCAAGATATTGAGTTAAGGAACAAGAAAATCACACTAATCATCAGGGAAAAATCAATCAACACTGGAAAACAAATTAACAAAAAATAGTCACAGGGATATATTAGCGACTTTCAAATGTATCTTGGCTGTTGATCATAAATATAAGAAAAAAATGTTCTCTCGGCTGGCTCTGAGTGTTGAAATAAATCACCTTGAAAGGAAGTTTTCAATAGCTCCACTCTTTAGGAATAGCTCAAGACGAAATCAATAGACCTACAAGTGGCAGACATATTCAGTTAGTCTTTATATTTCATTATGCAATGTTACAAGGTTCAGCAACTTGCCAAAATGGTTAAAATTTATTTCCAAAATCAGTGCTCTTATTTAGTACAGAATTCTATGAACGACACAATAATTATAAAGTCCTAACTTTGAACATAAAAGAAAATCTTATAAAAAAACATTTTTTTTATATAATTTATCACTGTTTGGAAAAGTATATTTGTTTGTAAAATATTTGTATCTACAGTTATATTTAATCCAGGTTAAGTGTCAATGCACGAGTATAATGTTAAGTATGAACAAAATCCGCCCATTCTGTTTATATGTTTGGTTACCGACCCTAGTAGATAGGCTATTTGTTATTACTTTTAATTTAGATTTTGGATTAACGTTTTTGTATATGACTTGGCTGTTTAGTAATAAATGAAGTCAAAACTGTAACACGTGGTTTTATTCTGGAAAGTATTTTTAAATTGAATCACGCACGCCGTTCGAGTGAAAATGTTTTAAGTAGTTCAAAACAACAATCACTCTTTTTCATTGTTTATAGAATACAGCCTTTCAGTTAGCTTAGACAAAACTGATTAAATAAATAAATTAATGTCTTATTATTTTTTGAATTTTTTTTATTTTGACTGGTTGACTATCTCAAAAATTAAAGCCAATCAAGCAAAACGTGAGTCACATTTCGCTTTTTTAGAAGAACAATAATGCAAGTGAAAATTAATGATTTCACAGAAATAGCAAATTAAAGAAAATGTAATATAAAACTTACAACTAAGACGTTAAAGAAAAGTTTGGAAATAATCGATGGGGACTTCGAGATAGCAAATTTATTTTGGTTTTAGACAGAACTACTTTATTTTATTTGTTTTGAAACAATTGAAGATTTATAGGCCGGAAAAGCGATTTTAAACTGAATATTCAGTCCAATAGGCTCTCGACGGAAATCCTTTCCATTTTTAGAATATTATCTTTCAAATTCAACAATTTTATGTTTTGTTCCAACACGGATTTTAATAATAGATTTATAAATTGTTTTTGTTTATTTGAATGTTAAAAGTTCTTGAAACTAACTTTAACATATATTTCCCATGCTGGCGCTTAGTGTTAAAATAATGAGACGATTAAACGAAAAAGGCTTACGAGAGCCAGTTGCCCTCTTTTGGTACACATTTGTACAAGGCAACTTTACAAATGTTTCCTCCTTTTTTCTCTTGTAGAAGATGGACACGCAGTGGAGCGCACAATGATGGTATTTTAAAAAGCCACGTCACATATTTGATTAGATAATTAACTTGATATAAGTGCCTTCAAGACTTAAGTCGTTAAGCATTCAAGTTTGGATTTCCCAACCCAGATTCAATTACATATAAAAACATTCTTTCTTATTTTGGAAAAAATATGAAAAATATAATTAATGCAATCATTCTGCTAAATTTTGTAGTATTTTAATAACAGTTCAGAAAAAAATAGTAGTAGTCAGTAACTGATCTTTACGAAACCCAAAGTTGAGCACTTAACGTCCTGAGCAATGAAAGTTTATGTCAATGTTAATTATCTAATCAAATATGTAACATTCGCATTTTCTATAATTTATTTTTTAAGACGCCTTCGTTGAGAGCTTCATCATTGTAGGACATGCAGCAAAGTATTTCCATGTACAAAAAAAAACAATGAAAAATTTTTAATTTTGCCTTTCGAAAATAATACTCCTAAATGTGCCTACTATAAATTGGTACTCGATTCGTTTTCAAATGGTGTCAAAAGTTGAAAACTGAAAATTAGTGGCTTACATGTTTTTATTACTTAGTATAATTTCACTAAACGTGTTTGGTATTATGTTATAAGTTTACCTAACAGCAAAAAAATCTGTTAGTTAAATTTTGTCAGTGCCGATTTTAGTAAAATTATATTGAATAAAATTATAACTACCTATATATTTACCCATTATTACTTTTTTAATTTTCAACTTAACATCCTGTATTTCAGAACATTTTATCCAAACATTTTTTATTTTCGTCTATTCGTCTCATTTTGAACAATAATATTCAGTTGTTCATGTCCTATTCTTAATTTGATGATACCATTAAATAAAAGTGAATATAAATTAACAGCGTACAACTCAAGTTTAATTAACCATCAGCGATATATCCAAAATCCAACCACAATATAGAAAAAAATGTTCCCTATTATAGTAAAATTCCACCCAATCTCAACTAATTCAATCTTTTTCAAACAAAAACTGGTTTATTTTATTATATCGATTATTTTCGCATTTTATGTGACCTTCAAATACCCTGTATTCTGTGCTTTTGTAATAATTTGAAATAGTAAATTGTAACTATAAAAATACATTACCGAAGACAAGTAGAAATGAAAAAGAAGATTTTAAATTATAATTCATACTCAAGCACAGACATGACCTAAAGACCTGACTTGGACATAAGTACAGTATCGCCATCTACATTCTATGTCCATCGTCCTCCAATGATAAGTCCATAAGGTTACCCTACTATATTTCTTCATACAACGATTTCACGAATGCATCGAGATTCTTCTGATAAGGATTGGATTTTTTACATTTTTGTTTATAAATTCATTCTTTTTCCGTACTTAGTTAAGTTTTGAAATAAATGTTGTCGAATAAAGAAAAAAATTTAAATAAATTAAAAGCGTAAAACATAAATAGTTCTTAGTATAAATAAATTAATTATTACCTAGAGTAAATAAATTATAAATAGTTTAAAATAAATAAACAAACAAATGTTACAATATTATATATATTTTTAGCTTGTCGTATTCAATCATGTAATTTACAAAATACAATCCTTCTTACCTATTAATAAATGTTGGAATCCTAAACAACAGATTCCATAATGTATTAACCCGTTTTATTATCATTAAATTTAATTTTAACCGCTAAATCGCACAAAACGAGCAATCGATCTGAATAATCGGTTTCAAACCCCGCATGTATTTAGAGTTGTTCGTGCGGATTCCACAATTAAATCAATCAAAAACACACTAGACATTTCTAGCACGGATTCTATATCTTTTTTGGAACAACCGAGAGTGGATAATAAAATGGTGGTCTAAAGGAGCTGAAAGTGATTATGTTGGTTTAATTAGAATAAAACACTTTAAGCTAGTTTAATTAATTAGGGATTTGAATTCATATAAAGTTAGTATGAATTACGTGAGAATGTGGTTTTAGGTATAAGGTTTTAAATAGAACTGATCGATTTAAGATAAATTGTATAGAATATTTTTGAATTAAAAAATATTTACAAAAAAATCATTATTAATAGTATATTATTAAACGAGCAATTTACTTGAGAAAAAATAATTTCTCTCGAAAATCTAAGTGCCGGAAAATAAAATATTAGAGAAAGCATAACATTAATGTTATGTTTATTTAAGCTCGTTAAAATAAAAAACGTGTAATTTTGAAAAAAGAAACTTATATTCTCTCAAAAATTACAAAAAATAGAGTATTAAACAAAGCCATATTGTAACATCCTAACTCTGGTTCTCGCCCGTAAGGTGGCTGGATACCCGATGAGTCACCAAGTGCTTCTACGGACGAGGCCAAAAGGGAGAAGAAGAGGCGCGGTTCTTGGCGCGAAAACGTGACAATTGACTTTTTAGGTTATGTGATTTGACAATCATAATTAATATATCTTTTGTTTTTCCTGTTCACACTTTATAAAAATTAAAATCTTTCTTTATAAAGAATCCCAAATTTTCTTGTAGCCAACCCTACTACAATATAATATTAACATTATGTTTATTTAAGCACTTATTTATTTTATTCAATGTTCAAAATCTTCATGTAGAAGTCTTGATGCTCCTTCTTCTTTAGGAAGTTTATCATTAAGGTGAGGGGTTTTTTCTTATTTTCTGTGATTTTATTTTCAGGTGGCAGCAACTTTATTATCGTTTTCTTCAAATCTGACGCTTTTTTACCCTTTTTCAAAATACAGGTCTCCTTCTACCGCTCGAAATCGCTAAAGGTCTCTTTCGTTAGCACGTTTCCAAGTTTCTTTGAATCTATTCTTACATGAACTGCTTTGCTGATGTTAAGGCTTTTGGTGTTGATAAGGCTGTCAGCTCCTGCCTGGATATAAAAAAATCTCAATTCTTCCATATTTACAACCGAAAATGGAAGACTATATTTCGCTGAAAGGACAACATCATGCAAATCATTCGGTACAAAACTCTTTATTATTCTCTTTCTTATTTCTATGAGTGCGAAATCACGATCGCAGGCCATAAAGCTCTGTCCACTTACGAGAAATTTCTGTTCAATGCTTTCGAATACACCAGTAGAGACCAAAAAGATCATAACGGACAGGACCATTCTGTTTTTATTTTGGCCAGCACAGTTGTCACACCAGTTCGTAATATGCTTTTTGTCGGTGATTCTCATATTCAACACTCTCAACAAACAGGAAGCAATTTCATTACTACCTCTTCCTCCTACAGATTCGTTCCACATACACATGAATGCTGAGTTGCTGTTACTTAGATGAATGCCGAAATTATAACAAGATAACTGGCTGAGGTAGAACATGTCTGAATGAGTTAAGGTAGGCACAAACAGAACTTGTTGCAGATCCATCGTTATGCAAGAAAGTATACTTCCTGGTTTTTGTGAGACAACAGTATCTTCTTTTATTGCAGCTAGAGATTTCTCAACTTTCCTATGGTGCAGTTCAAGCTGAGTTTTTGCTGTCTTACTACTTGAAATTTGAACTTGCATTTCGCAATTTAATTTATCACAAGTTCTGCAAGTATCAACTCTGGGGCGGTGAAATGACAAGTTCGGAAAATCTTTCAAAAAAACAAGCCGATAATATTTGTATATGACACGTGAATCCGGAAATTTTTCAAGGAAAGCCCTATGCAATCTATGTATGTTTAGATCAGGGCTCAAGTACTCTTTTTCAGATGTTTGCCTGGAATAATGACTTACGTCCCTAGGTATAGAGATTATGTGATCTCTGACTAGTTTGCGGTCATTTTCTGTGAACTCTGATTGACTGTTACCTTTTCTCTTGTCAACAAAAAATGTTTCACCAATCTTCTTCTTCACCAAGATTTCTATATTTTTAGAGGTTATGGCAAATATATTTAAAAATGTGCGCTTACAAACCAGAACTCAGTTTCCTAAACCATCAGGCACAGTATAAAATATGCTGCACTGACGCCGACTACTTTCTGTAGACGCATATGTCCTATGTCTTCTTCTTTAATATTCCCTATGTTTATCAGACCCATGAGGTAAGTACCCTGTTTAGCAGAGTCGGTTTCATAGAACTGTTCATATAATTCTAATTTCCGTTCGTAAGTAAGGCTTCTACATGTAATAATCAGAGATTTCAAAGAAATAACTTTTAAGAAAAAAGGGACACCCAGTATAGTTAAAATTCGTTTTATCAGATATATTTCAAAACAATTTTTATGTAAGGTAATAAGACGTGGTTTTACAAGCACGTAAGTCAGGAGTTTAATGAAATACAATGTATTTCTCAATGTTAGAACGAAAGTTGGTATCATATTTGTTTATACAGAGACGCGATTATATTTTATAACCTACATACAAGGCATCTAGCTGACACAGAAAAAATCGGGAGCCATCTTTGAGCTTTGTTTCAAAAGGGGCGTGGAAATACACGTATGACCATTATGACTGGACATAAAAAATTATAAACATTAATTGAAATGCCTCTTTTGAAAAGCGGCCATAATTAAAAAGGCGTACCAAAATACTTCCCAACGGGAAAATTGTAACGAGTCAGTCGGGGGTTAGCTTTGCATGGGGAACGACTCAAAGTCTCACGGGGTCACATAAATAATTTTAGTTTTTTTGGTTTTTTAAAAAAGAAATTTCGCGGCGCGAACGGTGACTATGTAGTTTTATACCGGATTAATCAATAGTGTTCACCGACCAGGCAAATCCGGGGACGATCACCAGGAGTGCTTGGCAGTCAACCCTTAAGATAATAGGAATAAGTCCAATGAGACAGTAATTAATCTGATACTTGAATGTTATATGGTATTAACTTGTAACCTGATATATTTGGATAAGATATTACAATGCTCTCTACTATTTTATAATTTATAAATAACAAACGGGAATTCACTGGGTTTATGACCTGCTCTAAACCGATTAAGTAGCCTCTAAAATTTGTGACAGGGGCAAAAACTAGTTCATTACTGTATATGTTTTTTTTTGTATCTATTTGTATCGTGTCTTTAACTCTTAGTTAGACTGTCATACATTCAATTTTATGAAGGATTAAACAAGTTGCTATTAAGGCAATCATTGTAACGTAAACTTGCTAAAAATTAGTGCCATTGTCATAAATTTTATTTCAAATGTTTCCGGGAATTTTATCTTGATTTTTAAATTTGTTTCTTGTTCTGTATGTTGATTTTCATTACATTTGTTTAATGTGTCAAAACTTTTTTTATTTTCATTATAATTGTTTATTTTAATAACGGATTTTAATTAACCCCTCCCACATACCCCAGTGAAAGTTATGACACGAAAACTTAAATATTCTCTGAGGATTAAGAATATCAACTAGAAAAAAAAGGTTCACGCATATTTAGCCGTGACGAATCACGCCTTAGTAGAATATTTAATTTTTGGTAGAAAACCATAGTGCCTTTGACCGCTCAACAGACTTGATAGACATCTAAGTTAGACCTATAAGTAAGTACCCTTTCAGATTATGTAATCTCTCTTTGAAATTAATACAGGGTTAAAGTCTAGTTTCCATAATTCAGTCTACAAGGAATAGTTTTAAGAAAAATAATAAATACCCACAGTTTTATTGTAGAAAGTATATACGCAAAATCAGCGGGTATTACATACACTTGTACGAACATTTACAGGACACCTACAATGTTAAAATATTTCACATTTGTTTACTAATAAAATAGGTTATGTCAACTTACCTTTCTTTCTGGTTTGGGTTTAGCAGGAACTAGTTTGTTGGTATAAGTTCTATATTGCTTCCCTTGCCACTTCAGAATTTTATTTTCCTGTATATAAGAGCCAGTACCGCTAGCCCTACGTTTTCTCGAAGCATTTTCACTAATTCCGGACGACATCATGTTCCGTTAAACACAAACTGTCAGATTTTCAATATTGGCACATAGCCCCTTTCAAGATCCAATACCGGTTAACATACCGCTAGCGACATCTATGTAATTTTATTTCACCTGCTCATTAGAGTTCTATCACTTAGCGCTACAACCTTTTTAGCAAACAACTCGATTTTGTTAAAATTGGCACCCAACCCCTTTTGCATTTCCACTCTTTAATTTTCAATAAATTTCAAAACTTGTTATATTAAATTGGATATTAAGTATTTTTTACGAAATGTGGTCAACTTTTGTAGGCGAGCATATTACGTTGATTATTATGAGCTTACACAGCAGCTTATAAAATTTGTGAATAGAAAGTGTAAAGCCTTGCTTCGAACAATCGGTGATTCTGGTGGTCGTGTAATAACCAAAAAAGTGTTAACACAATCATCCATCAATAGAAGAAAATATTATTCAAAGACATATAGTGAGTGCATCTGCTAAACGAAAGGCCTCTGATGATATTTGTGAAAAACCCAGCAAAGTTATTCGACAATAATTTGAATCCAATTTAAATTGTATCAAAAAATCAATTTACTATGAAAAACGCAAAAAGTTTCGAAAACTTCCATCGAGTGCCGAAGAGGTATTTGAAATTTTAAATTATATCAATACATACACTTTACAAAATGAGAATTTTGTTCTTATAAATGATGTGGAAATAAATCTAATTGTATTTTCTAATGAAACTAATTTGAAGTTTCTCTGTGAGTGCAAAACACTTTACATGAATGGGACGTTTGCGTATTGCACAAAATATTTTCTCCAATTCTTTACCATTCATGGCCTATGTAATGGACATTATATACCACTTGTTTTTTGTTTATTACGAGATAAAAAAGAAGACACCTACATAAAATTATTTCGCAAATTAATTGATATATGTACGAATAATAATTTGAACATAATGCCTGAACAAATAGTGATTGATTTTGAAATCGGAATTCATAATGCTACGCGATTAATTTGGAGTGATGCTCAATTGATAGGCTGCCAATTCCACTTAAGTCAAGCATGGTGGCGAAAAATTCAAAATTTGGAATTATCATCGGAGTATAAAAACAATGCGATATTGGAAAATGGCTACGTTAATGCTTTGGAATTATGTTTTTTTTTGAACTCGTAGAAGAAAAGCCCAACGACGAAAGATTAGCTGCATTTGCTGAATATTTAGTGGAAAATTATATAGGGTGTCTGTAAAAGGTCTTTACAAAAACATACCACATATTCCTTATTTTCCATATTTCCATATTTTCAACGGCATAAACATGTTCATTATGGGTATTAGTTATACCTCTTCTTGTAAAACCCGCTTCATCGGTAAAGAGAACCTTCTTGAGAAAGTTTGGATCTCTTTCTTTTTGCATATTAACAAATCGACAAAAACCCAAACGAATTTGAGGATTATGGACTAATAATTCTTGTACTGGCTTCTTATGGTATGGATATAGCAATTGTTCTCTAAGCACTTTACTTACTCCTAGTTCCCTTCCAATTCGCCTAGTGCTTAATTCCGGATCTTCTTCAACACGTTCTAAAATGTCTTTTTTAACTTCAGGAATCCTTAAACGTTCTCTTCCATTGTCAACAGTGTTGGGAGCAAAGGAACCGGTCTCCCGAAGACGTCTCTCAACAGCAGTAAAAGTTGGGTGGCTAGGTACACGACGATTTGGAAACCTTTCAGAGTACCCCTGACACTCTCTCGAGCATTTCCTTCACAAAATTCTAATGTCAGTAACATATCGGTATATTCGGCATTGGTATATTGTACAGCCATATTAATAAACCACGCATTTGTTTTTTTAATTATTGAGTCAGATAGAACACTTTCAATCGTTAACAAGAGATTAGGTGTTAAAACTTGACAATATTTTTATTTAGATGAAACTATGGAAACCAACAATAAATGTTTTTGTATACGTATTGCAGGCAAATAATTAATATTCCTCAAAAAATCGTACATGGCAAGAATCGAGTATTTTTGTTAAAAGTATCGATTAGAGGTGTTGAAGAAGATATGAAAAAAGTACATTTTTATGTTTTTCATCGTATAAAATTTTGTCCGATAATAATACATAGGCGTAGAACTTGATTTTTTAAATATTTGCACTTTTAAAAATTCTACGCCAATGGCAAAAAAGGGGTTTGAGTATGAAATTTAGATTGGGTACTCATTTACTTCAAAAAAGTACCCTTGATAACACTCGATTTACTCTCATGGTTTTGACAAAGTTTGTATTTTAATAATTATTGTTTATGTACTAAAATTACTAAAATGCAAATTTCGTCAAAACCATGAGAGTAATCGAGTCTTATCAAGAGTACCTTTTTTAAAGTAAATGAGTTGCGCAATCTAAATTTCATACTCGAACTCCTTTTCTTCCATTGGCTTAGAAGTTTTAAAGGTGCAATTATTTAAAAAATCAAGTTCTACGCCTATGTATTATTATCGGACAAAGTTTTAATACCATTTTCTTTGCCACATAAAACTCTACCAATACAACAAATTTCAGCAAAATTGCATATGCCGTTTTAACTTTATATGGGAAAAACTATTTAAAAATTGTAACTTCAAGGCCCTCTGGAGCCCAAACGAAGCAACTT